ACTTTCAGCCTCCATAATTGGTGAACAACGACCATCAACGACTATTGTTAATGATTGCCATAACCCTAATATAACGTTTATTCTATCACCTACATTTTTTCTTGCATTGTATACCGACAAGTGATGCATTTGGAATAAAACAATAACTTTATTCTCCCAGTTGTGAGAAAAGGGTGTACCATTGTGCTCGCACACTTATAGTGGATTGTTTGAACAGGGTTAGGCTCTATGATTTTTTCTCTACCTTTGTTTTTCTTCATAAAATATTGTGGTATCTCCTCTCGTTACTTTTATATCATTTGTGTGTGCACTAAATCTTCGAACAATACTAAGATATTATATTATCACCACCGCCGTGAATTTTCCGGCACACAACAGGAATATTCTTTTTTAATCAAATTTAAATATTAACATGCAAATATAAATTGAAAGGGAGAATTGCATTAAAATATAAAAACATTATATTCATAAAATAACTATGGAGGATGTCATTCGATAAACACACAAATATCTTACATTTTTATTATCTTACATTAATTTAGCATTCGTTCTCAAATACGGAATGGATGTCGAGTGATGACAGAGCTAAGTTTATTGATTTGTGGAGTCATTTAAATTAGAAATTAAAGTGTCATTGAATGATCTGTTTTGATGTCAATTAATCATATAATATTATTAAGATATCATACATCCTTAATGATATAAAAATTGAATGATCCTTAGCCCATCAAAATTTCCTCATTGAGAAGCTCATTTTGACTAACAGCATGCAAATTTTAGAAGTGATTCGATTTTTTATGCTGTGAAGTTTCTAACCATACTTCTATATGCTTCATATATACGAAGAATTTGTATCAAGATATTCTAAATATCATTAGGTTCCTCTCATTCAAATTTTCATTCAAATATCTATATATTTCTTTTTCAATCGTTTGAACTCATCAAAATCTAAAAGATTGCATTAAGATTTGTGCTCGTATATAATTTGGAGTTTAGACAATTTGATAATTGATTCTATATATTTCTTTTTCAATCGTTTGAACTCATCAAAATCTAAAAGATTGCATTAAGATTTGTGCTCGTATATAATTTGGAGTTTAGACAATTTGATAATTGATTCTATATATTTCTTTTTCAATCGTTTGAACTCATCAAAATCTAAAAGATTGCATTAAGATTTGTGCTCGTATATAATTTGGAGTTTAGACAATTTGATAATTGATTCTATATATTTCTTTTTCAATCGTTTGAACTCATCAAAATCTAAAAGATTGCATTAGGATCTGTGCTCGACTAGATATTTTTGTTGGCATAAAAGTCATGCTCAAAATCTGAAGAAAATATTACATCAGACTGATGCAGAAATATATCAGGACTCAAATGAATTGTGTCACATGTCCGTAGAAAGCAGACTATACATTAAAGTATATAATTTTTTTATTAAGTGCATCTGTCATGTGATATGGCGCAATTTTATTGGAGTCCTGATGCATTTCTGCATCTCTAATATTTTTTTTCCAAAATCTAAGTCTTAAGATAATTTGCTTCTTAAACAATTATAGATTTGAATTCATAATAATAAAAAAAGAGAGGTGCAACCATTACTAGGATGTTATCATGGACCTCCATTGGAGCCATAAAACAAACAACTCTTGCCAATTCACAATTCAATGATCATTATATTTTAAATCATGCAAAATATTTTGTAACAACAAAGTTCTAAACTTTCAAATTTTGCTTATAATTAATCATGTAGGCTTTTTTAAAACTTGAATATATTAAAACTGAATTTGGAACATTAACAAAGGGTTTGTGAGGGCTAAGTTTTTTGCAGCATTAATGATTTATTTTAATTTCTTATTAAAATTTCTTACATTTTAATGTACTAAAAAAAAAAATTTTTTTGAATGTTATCCATAAAAGTCTAAGGAAATTGAGAAAGCATTCAAGAAATTAAGAAAAGTTTTCCTTCCCCCCAATCTTATAAAATCCTCCATAGGCAAATAAATCAACATATTGATATCCACATTCATTAAATTCCCAATCACAAATTTGATTTTTCTTTAAAATAATTACAGAGAAATAAAATTGACATTATATTATTATTATTATTATTATTATTTTTTTTTTTTTTTTTAGTGAAAGAGCTTTATCAAGATGATCTTAATGTACACACATGGGACACAACATTCGTTGGGACACATCTTTCATGGAGCCACTGCTGGCATGTCAAGCAGCTTAGGCTATGCCAAATATAATGAGCTGCACAATTACCTTATGATTAGAGCACAAGCCGAGAAGGCTGAGAATAAAAAGAGGGATGTTATTGGGGGAAATTTGTGATAGTATGGACTCTCACCGATCAAAGTAGTGTCCACCTTGGCCAAATGGCTTCATCGTGTTGCCCCATTCCTAGGAGGTCACCCATCCTAGAAGTGCTCCAGCATGAGCATTCTTAACTTTGAAGTTTCTATTGAAATTATGTCGTTACACTAAAAGGTGCATTGACGTTTAAGAATTTGACTTCATTCTACATAAGTGGTTTCACAATCTCCCCCACTTAAGTGGTTGACATCCTCGTTAGTTTTCTTAATCATAATCATCCACTAGGCAGATATGAAGGTGGCTCCCGTGGCATTACATTTTTCTTAGTGTGGCATTTAGTTTCCATCTTCCTGCTGGTGTTATGCTCTCATATTATTTGTGACAACCTGAACTCTAACACATCAAGTTATTGTTCTCTTTGCCTTAGTGAGCTCACGATTTTGCTCTGTTGTTGTAACTCACTCCTAGGATGGGTGACTCCTGGGAAGTTATACTAACGAGATAAAACTGTCAATTCATTAGGCCAATGTCAACAAGACCTTAATGTGTGAGAGTTCATGCTATCACAAAATTTGCCCTTCTACACAACAAAGGCAAGCAAGATTCTACCATAAAGAATGTATCCTTTCTTTGGTAGCTCTCAGATAGTGCATCATGTTGACCGTGAATTAGAGTTCCTAGGAGGTTTAAGATAAAGGATAAAGAACAGAGTAGATGCTCAAGGAAAATTTTTTGGAAATTGTCACTTAATTATGACATCCAGTACGATATGCTAAAGGGCATATAACATGAGCATGAAACTTTCTCTTTAAAAAAGAATATATGCAAGAATTTGAATTCTCTTCTCATTTTACTATATAAATAGAGAATCCAAAGAAAAAAAATAGGGATTGAAGTCATCTTCGGCTCCTTCTTTGGACAAGGTGAAAACCCCTAACACCTCTCCAACAGCTTTCACCTACTAGAAGGGATGACTTCCCCTATTTACAATTCTAGTCGAGGGTGTGCTTAAAAAAAAAATCCGACTCAAGTCAAAATCAAATATTATAATTTGGATTAGAGCCAACTTTGGGTAATTAAAGTTGAACCATTTTGAGCAATTTTGCAAGTTATCAAAATCAAGTCTATTCCTAACATATCATGTAAGATATCAACTAAAATTACATCACATAGCATAAAAATTATGTCATGATCTTGTACCATGAAAAATCATTAAATTGATTTTCAAATTTATGCAATACAAAATCTTCATGTATAATATAATGATTTCTAAATCAATTGTCATATAATTTGTATATGAATTTTCTGTGATAATTTTTTTTTCTAAATTTATTCCAATTTATTTTAATTGTCAAATAATTATAATGAGATAATGATGGAACAAGTTTGAACATTAGTTTTAATATTGAGTGGATTATGATTTGAGAAAGTATTGGCATATTTTGACTTTCAAACATGAAAATAGTTTATGATCAGGACAATTATGCTTGTGTTTAGATTAAAAAAAACAAATTGAAGTAATATATTTTTCAATTCAATGATTAAATCAAGCTATGTGTAAATAAGATCCTTTCAATATAATGAGCCGCACAATTACCTCCCGAGTTGTTCTAACCCACCCGAGTTGTTCTAACCCAAGCCGCAGAGGTCGAGATAATATTGAGTGGATTATGATTTGAGAAATTATTGGCATATTTTGACTTTCAAACATGAATATTATATATTCCCAATACTAAATTCATAATCAGGACAATTATGCATGTGTTTAGATAAAAAAAAAACAAATTGAAGTAATAACTTTTTCAATTCAATGATTAAATCGAGCTATGTGTAAATAAGATCCTTTCAATATAATGAGCTGCACAATTACCTCCCGAGTTGTTCTAACCCAAGCCGCAGAGGTCGAGAATAAAAAAATATAGATATTAAAGTAAATTTGTCCTTCACCATAGTGGAGGTGAGCAAGATTCTACCCTCGAGAAAGTATCATTTCTTAGGTAGCTCTCAGACAACACATCATGTTAACCATGAATTAGAGTTTCACGAGCATAAAACTTTTCATTTTTGTAAGAATGTGCAAGAATTTAAATTCTCGCCTCATTTTTTGAGCACGAAGCTTTTTTTTTTCTTAAAGAATGTGCAAGAATTTAAATTCTCGCCTCATTTTCTTATATAAATAAAGAATTCAAAGAGAAAAATAGCGATCCAAGTCATCTTCGCCTCCTTTGGACAAGGAGAAAAACCCTTGACACTTCTCAAGAAGGCTTTACCTACTAGAAGAAATGAAGCCCCCTATCTTTAATAATATGGTTTATAGATCTAGCCTAGGATGTGCTTAAGGACAAATCTAAGTTCAAAACTCAACTCATAATCAAATACTATAGTTTGGATTAAAGCCAACTTTGTGGAAATAAGATTGATCTATTTTGAGCAAATTTAAAATAATTAAAAGCAAGTCTATTTCAACAACATATAATGTAAGATATCACCTAAAATCATATGAGCAAGCAAGATAATGTTGGGACAAGTTTGAAAATAAGTTCTAATATTAAGTTAATCATTAAGAAAATTATGCTATTTTTTAACTTAAAAAAGACAAATTGAAATAATATCCCTTTCAATTCATTATTTAAATCAAGTTATTTGGAGATAACATACCTTTTATTGAAGTAATAAATGCTCTTAACGACTTCTAAGTACCTCTGTACCTAGCAGAGAGGGAGGGGGCGCGGGAGGGAGATCAGAACATCGCAATGGCGATCTCTGCACAAAACCTTCACCGACTTTCGAATCCAAAACCTAACTCATCCCTCCGATCTTCTCTTTTCCTAACACTCGTCGTCTTTCTATCCCTCACCGCCGGCACCCTCTTCCTTGTACCCTTCCGCAACCCCGCCTCCACCGCCTCCGCCTTCTCATTCTCCTCCGCCACCACCATCTCGCCGGATAGATACTTTCTCAACTTACGATTCCCTCACCGACGCGTCCTTGCCGTCAAATCCGACCCCCTTCGAAACCGCATCGACCAGATCCGGAAGCAGGCAGCCGATCACGGTAGTCTCTCTTCTTCCTACGCTTCCTACGCCCGCAAGCTGAAGCTCGAGAACTCCAAACAACTGCGCCTCTTCGCTGAGATCTCACGCAACTTCTCCCTTCTCATTTCCGACCACCGGCATCTCCTCGACCCCTCTAACCCTATCGACGAGACCTCCCTCCGTCGCTTCGAGCGCGATGTCAAGGACCGCATACGTACCGCTCGGACTCTCATCGCCGACGCCAAGGAGTCATTCGATAACCAGCTCAAGATCCAGAAGCTCAAGGACACGATATTTGCCGTTAATGAGCAGCTCACTAAAGCGAAGAAGCAGGGCGCCTTTTCGAGCTTGATTGCGGCCAAATCAATCCCTAGGAGTCTTCACTGCCTCGCAATGCGGCTAATGGAGGAGCGGATCTCCCATTTCGACCGCTACGCTGATCCGGAATCACCTCCGCCGGCACTTGAGAACCCTCGGCTCTATCACTATGCCATCTTCTCTGACAACGTTCTTGCTGCTTCTGTTGTTCTCAATTCGGCCGTTAAGAACGCTAAGGAGCCGTCGAAGCACGTGTTCCACGTCGTCACCGATCGAATGAATCTTGGTGCGATGCAGGTTATGTTCAAGCTCAAGGACTATGCCGGTGCTCATATAGAGGTCCGCGCATTTGAGGACTATAAATTTCTCAATTCCTCTTATGTTCCTGTTCTCCGGCAGCTTGAGTCGGCAAACTTGCAGAGGTTTTACTTTGAGAACAAGCTTGAGAATGCTACCAAGGACACAACAAATATGAAGTTTAGGAACCCTAAGTACTTATCGATGCTTAATCACCTAAGGTTTTATCTTCCGGAGATGTATCCTAAGCTGCACCGGATTCTGTTCTTGGATGATGATGTAGTGGTACAGAAGGATCTGACTGCATTGTGGAAGATTGATATGGATGGGAAGGTGAATGGAGCTGTCGAAACTTGCTTTGGATCGTTTCATCGTTATGCACAGTACATGAATTTCTCACACCCGCTGATCAAGGAGAAGTTTGATCCGAAAGCCTGTGGATGGGCTTATGGGATGAATTTCTTTGATTTGGATGCATGGAGGAAAGAGAAGTGCACTGAGCAGTACCATTACTGGCAGAATTTGGTAAGTCTCTTGTAAAATAGATGTTGTCGCTAAAGGTGGCTTTTTTCTTTTCTTTCTTTTTTATTGTTTGATAATGTGATTTCCTGGATTTGCATTGATGCCAAAATTTCAATGAGGAAACTATGAGAAAGAGAGAAGGTATGGTGGTGGAAAATTGGTTTGTGTGATTTTGGAATGAATAGGTGAGGGTGGACGGTTGAAGATGCTCCAATAAGAGATAAAGTTGATATATAAGGTATAGAGAAGAAGGTTTAGACTAATGATAAAAGAAGAGTTGCATAAATTAGAATTACACCTTATGTTGCGTTCCTTAATAATGATTGGAGAAGTGGAATTATGATCAATTTGAACATATATGATTTATGTAAGAGGGAATTTGCATGCATGCCACACAATTTTTATGTATATCAATATCTAATGGCCAAACTTAGATATTTACTTATATAAACGTTACTTTCGCAATCATTATATAAACGTTACTTTCGTAATCATATCAAAACTTATGCATGAAAAGATGTCTTTTTTTAAGAAGAAATCATATTAATGGTATTTTTAACTTGATGGTGAAATTTTAAGTGTTATTCAAGTACATAATAAAGTCTAGGATTTAAATTTGTATATACATAAGATATATGTGGTAATAATGTGAATTCCCTTATGTAATATGATTGTTGCTATTTTATTTTTTGAAAGAAGACTTATTACTGAGTAAAAATGTTCATTTATTTGCAGAGGAATCAAAATATAGTTGTATTATTCAGTTTTGATGATGAAGCTAAGTGTTCAATTGTACATGTTTTACATTGTGACAGATTGCTTTAAATTGAAGCTTTTCTACTTTGATATGGAATAGCTTATTTAAATTTTGATATAAAGTTCCATGCTGCATAGTAAAATTTTGTATGCTAAATAACTTTTAGGATTTTGTCTTTAGGTGAAGTTAGTGAATTAAAATAAAATCACTTCATAGCCTTATTTCTTTACAAAATTTATAACAAAGAAAATGCCATCATTTTGACCGCATTGTTTTCTAGTGAACAAAACAACTCCTTAAGTCATATGTATTTAAACATAAAGATTTAAACTTTACTTTTTATATTTATGCCACCGAAATCTTTCATATCATATCAAAAATATCACTATTTTAACTTTTAAAAAGTGAAACGTATTTTTTTATGCGCAGGGAAGGTGGCAAATATGTAAAAATTAAAGTTCAAGTATTTGATATGTAAATATGTTGGAATTGAGTGATATGCATGTTTCTCTTGTTGAGAAAATTAGGGCGAAGAAAAACAGTAATCGACACAATTCCAGAAGAACACAGAGATTTAACGAGGTTCGGCAAAGATGTCTTCATCCTCGGGAGCAGAGCGACGACCTCCTTTTCAATATTCAGAAAAGATTACAAAATACAATATTCAGCTCTCTCAAAGACCTAGTATTACAAACAGTTCTATTTATAATCCTAGAGTAAACCCTACAGTACAATATGTAATTCCCAAATTACCCCTGTACCGTATAGCGGGGCGTTGACCCAACACCCCCAACCCACATAACTTAGTGCTATCATACATCTTAATTCTGACTTCTCCAATACCAACAATATTGCAACATCTATCATCACCTAGATAAACTGAGTCAGATTTAGTTGACCTATATGAAGTAAACCACTCTCTGTTAGGTGTTATGTGATAAGGACATCATGAATTAAGAATCCATGCATCCGTGAACTGAGTAGATGAAACTGAAAGTATATCGTCATCACTTCAATCTGAATTGTCACTCAGCACCGCATTTACGGACTTCGATGATGCATCACCTTTCTCCCCAGTTTGCTTCTTGAGTTTTGGACAATCTCTCTTTATATGACCTAACTTCTTGCAATTGTAGCAATGAATCATCTTTTTGTCTTTGGACTTGGATCTAAAATTTTGCCTTCTAGAACCCTCAGTTTTTTTCTTCCTTTCACGATTCTGATTACCCTTCACATATAAACTGTCGCCCTGAGAGCTTTCCCCTGCATTCTGTTTCCACTGGTTGTGAGTTAACAATGCTGCAGTAATCTTATTAACATTTATAGTTTCTTTTTCATATGTAAGAGTAGTCACCAAATGTTCATAGAAAGAAGACAGTGAACACAATAGAATCATTGTTCGGTCTTTATACTCAATAGTCACATCAAACCGTGATAAATCTGTTATTATCTGATTGAAGCCATTAACATATTGCGTCAGATCAGAACCTTCTTGTATCTTCAACCCATACAGTTTTTGCTTTAGATACAATTTATTCACCAGAGATTTAACCATAAACTGAGTTTCCAATTTTTTCCATACATCCCCTGGAGGTTTCAGATTCATTACGTGATACATAACCTAATCTGCCAGACATAAGGATATAGTTGCTGCCGCTCGTTGTTGCAATTCTTCCCAATCTTTATCCTCATGACATTTGGTTTTACTTCCCGCAAAACTTTCAAGATTCTCTGTTGAGCCAACAGATCTTTTACTCTTGTTTGCCACAATCTGAAGTTACCAGTTCCATCGAACTTCACCACATCGAATTTTGCACCAAAAATTGTCATTTGAAATTGATCGTGTAACAAATTAATCTACAATTGCTTGCTCAAAATATTTCTCAAATAAGGATTTAAAAAATTCCCTTAATTAAGTTTTTTTTTTGAAAAAAAAATAAAATTTGAAATAAAAAAAAAAGTTCCTCTTCGCTTCCAAGAAAAGAAATAAATATTTTCTTTATTTCCTCTCTTTATTCAGCAAAGAAAATCCTTAATTAAATTTACTTAATTTGATTTAAAGCAATTTAATTAAAAAGTTTTCCTTTTTGCGCCTTCCAGCAAACGAAATCGGAGGGGAATATTCCGCTAGATTTCTTCACTTTTCCAGTTTAGGAATATAATATTACTGTGTCTTTTCTTTCCATGAAATCCACGGCAATTCCTTACTTTCCAAGGAATTAATTATTCCTTCCAGCAAGGAAAAATTGCAACTTTCCTTTTCCTCCGGCCAAATTCTCCAGCACCTCCGCGCAGGGAAGGAAAGGACCGAACTCCTTTCCGCAAAAGGCTCCCAGCTGGAAATCTTCTCCGCAAGCAGCGCCGAAACCTCCGCGGTTCTCTCCCGGCGTTCCTCTGCGTCCCGCGAACAGTTCTCTCCCGGCGTTCCTCTGCGTCCCGCGAACAGTGCGTCCCGCGAACAGTGCTGCTCCTCGCGTGCCTCGATCCTTCCGCTCTCCTAGTCCGAACTCCCTCTGGCGATTCCTTCTCCCTGGTCCGCCTGACTTCCGCGATTCCTTCGCGATTCTTTCCCGAGCAGCGTCCTCCCAAGCCGAACAATCTCCCAGCAGCCAAGCTCTCTATCACGATCCGCTTCCCTGAGCAGAGCCGCGATCGAGAGTCCTGTCGCGAACTCCCTCTCCTTCGACAGAGATCGCGGTGTCCGAGAACCTTGGCTCTGATTCCCTCTCCTTCGACAGAGATTGCGGTGTCCGAGAACCTTGGCTCTGATTCTCAAAATCTCGCCGCCGAATTCCTTCTTGCGCCGATGAGAATTTTCTTCCCCTCGAACCTTGGCTCTGATTCTCAAAATCTCGCCGCCGAATTTCTTCTTGCGCCGATGAGAATTTTCTTCCCCTCGAATCTTGGCTCTGATACCACTTGTTGAAAAAATTAGGGCGAAGAAAAACAGTAATCGACACAATTCCAGAAGAACACAGAGATTTAACGAGGTTCGGCAAAGATGCCTACATCCTCGGGAGCAGAGCGACGACCTCCTTTTTAATATTCAGAAAAGATTACAGAATACAATATTCAGCTCTCTCAAAGACCTAGTATTACAAACAATTCTATTTATAATCCTAGAGTAAACCCTACAGTACAATATGTAATTCTCAAATTACCCCTGTACCGTATAGCGGGGCGTTGACCCAACACCCTCAACCCACATAACGTAACTTTCCGATTTGGACAGATTCTTCCGCTTCGCTCCGCTCTGCTCCGCTTCGTTCCAGCGTCTGTCCCTATATGATATATGAGTCATACCATAACATCTCTTCCTTTGTTATTTGTTATGAAATAGACCAAATTAGACCAGCTCTATGCTTCCCGCTGAAGTTCCTCTTGGGTCCAATCTTTTCTCATATTAAAAATGTCATCTTTGAAGGTCATTAAGGTTAATTTATTTTTGCAGAATGAGAATCGTACCTTGTGGAAATTGGGGACTTTGCCTCCAGGTTTGATCACCTTTTACTCGACCACAAAGCCTCTCGACAAATCCTGGCACGTGCTCGGACTCGGCTATAATCCAAGCATAAGCATGGAGGAGATTCAGAATGCTGCAGTTGTTCATTTTAATGGAAATATGAAACCATGGCTCGACATTGGTATGAACCAATTTAAGCCGCTCTGGTCAAAGTATGTTGATTTTGACAACGATTTCATTCAGCTCTGTAATTTCGGAGCATAAAGAAGAATGAGTCATTTACAAAGCTTCTCTGCAGAGATTAAAACACACAGATGGAATTATTTGGTATGCATTTATTACTTTTGTTGTCTGCTGCAAATATTTTTAATGAAATATTAGCTCATATTCTATCTTAGAAATGAATGACATAAGACTTCTGTAATCTCCACAGAGCTATTTACTTTTTTTTATAGCAGCTTCTGTTGTTCTTGCTTCATAACTGAGCTTTATAACCATCTTACCCTGTGAATGAAATCCGTTGTCGTATTTCTATGAAATATATTTAAAATATTGGTAATCATGGTATTTTTGGTGTGATGTTAAAAAAATGAGTATTATGTTTGTAAATATGAAAGTTTGGGTGTTATATATGTAAATATATAAAAATTGTGTGGCATGTATGTAAATGTTCCAAATATATATCCTCATTTGATAAATTACATTCTGCACGTTCTATCAGTTCTTAGAATAATGTTCTTTACGCCCTCTTACTCTCTGGCTTCGGAGAGAATATTATGTGTGGAGTCTGGAGGCATTCGGACTTTGTGTACATCATTGTTGTATATATTGAACAGATTGTCGTACAACATGTGCAACCTCATTGTATACAAAATACGTATATATTCGAACTCCACCCGTAATTTTATTTTCCTTTTCCTAAGTGTGAGATCACCTGTGTTTTATGTTTTATGTTGATAGTCCAGAAAATGTTAATGTTCTAACTTGTGCATTCTCGCGAGTCATAAAACCAATAGTTAAATGCTGTAGTGTTAACATATAAAAATTTATCCATACGTTTGGAATTTTTTTTCCTACTAAATAATAGCTGTTGTGGTTTGCCACTAAATTATTTTGGAAGATTTGCATACATGCATGATACCGCGCAATTCCTCTTCACGTGCATGTCTAACACCTAAACTTCAATTTTTACGTTCATATCATCTTATTTATGCATGAAGATGTATATTTCACTTCTTAAAAGTTAAAATTATGATATTTTTATTTGATATGAAAGTTTTGAGTAGCGTAATTCTAAAAGGTAAAGTTTAGATGTTAGGTATGTAAATAGGTATGATTTGGCCGGTATGTGTGTAAATGCCTCAATTATTTTTTATTGAAGATTCATTTAAAGAAGGGTTTTTTTTTAATCCTATTAATGTTGAAACCTGGATAGTTTGTGACACAACTATGTTAATGGAGATACTTCCGCCCCAGCCGACGGGAGAGCCAATCCTGCAGACGACAAACAGTTCTAAGGAGGACCAGTCTGGACCCTCTAGACTCAGCCAGACCAGCGGGCAGCCTGGCCAAGTTAGCTGGCTCAGCCTTGAGAAGCGGAATCCCTAGGAGATGTTATGGACTGTTCAGACTCTCACGATTCGAAGTATTCATTATCTAGAAATATCTCCATCTTTTTCTTCTTATGCATGAAATCCATCACAACCGTCACCCACGATTCAAAGACCTCCATCCGGCCTGCACACCCAAGATTCAGGCGTGGAGAATTTCTCCATCGATGTGGTTGCTTGCGTCAACAGCCTTGTGAAGAATGTCTTCCGAAGGGGAAGACGACGAGATTGGCGCACTAGAATCCGGAAAGCCGGCCCTTGGAGGACAAGAGACAGGTTTTCTCAGTGATAAATGTGGACTCGGTACTGGACAAGGCTGGAGCCAAGAGACGGGTTTTCTCAGCGATAAATGTGGACTCGGTACTGGACAAGGCTGGAGCTGAGAGACAGCTAGTTCCGGTGAGTGGAGATGATCTTGCATGCGAAGATCAGGCCGACGGTGGACTCGAAGAAGCGCAACAATTGATTATCGTGCGGGATTTTACGAGATCGAAAAGAGATACCGGCAGGAGGATTCAAAATCAACAGATTACGACGATCGATGCGAGTAATCGACAAGAAACTACTGCTGAAATTTGGTGATATATTAGGTGAGACCGGGTGGATCGACGGGAGATATCTGTGGGATTTTTCAGTGATCTGCGGGATGGATTCAAACGATCGTTGAGGGGCGAGCAACTATATCCGACTGAAAGGTTTAGGCAATCGTTAGAAAGAAGGTCGATCGGGGGAGTGGCTTTCCTATCGATAGGAGCAAGGTGGATGAGAGCAGTCTAGGTAGATGACAGAAAAAAGGAGGGAGACGCTACAAGCAGTTCGGCTGGCCGGCGGCCAAGAAAATTTTGTAGTCTAGTGTTGGCGCAACACATTGAAAGAAGTAGTCGCCAACGGTGAAGGCACAGCAAGGGCTTTGTTTTTCGCCTGCGAGGAGCGATCGAAGGAGATAGTTTTGAAGGAAATGTGTTTGGTTCAAGGGGTGGAGGAAGAAGCCTCAGACGTCTGCCTAGCAGGGATTTGTTTAAGAGCTGATTTGTGGCTTCCGGGATGTTGTGGCTTGGTTGCTGACAGAGAGAGCTGGGGTGGCTGATTAGTGAAGTGGTCGGTCGGTTATAGCTGTTGATTTCGAATCCTCCTGCCGGTATCCCACGGGACGAAGATCATAAAACTTGTCCTTTATATATAAGATAGGAGGGGCAAAACATTATAAAAATGATGACATATTTAACATTGTTTTAGAGAGAAGCAAGGGACATTTTAGTATTTTTTTTTATTTATTTCGATAGTTGATCATTTCGAGATCGATGCAGACTTTCATATCCATGTTTGTTGGTCTATTGAAATGAGGTGGCCGAGTGGGAGAGTTTGGTTGGTTGACTACTAGATTGCCTCGAGATCTAGGCATACCATTTTTGAGTGTGCACGTGCCATTTTGATGTTATAAAGTTCAAATTTTGGGGAGTGAGTTCTAAGTAACAATCATTTGGCCTATTTTCATTTGCTCAACATTTTTTAAATGGATAATTTTACCAATTGTTTAGATAAACATTGCCAAAAAATTTGTCTAATATAAGCGGAATTTTTGGATATATATATATATATATATATATATTTTGTGTGCCGGTTGTCGTGACTTTTTGGTTGGCATCTGCGAAGTCTGTTCCAACTCATTGGGGTCACAGGTTCGAGCCCGCCTGAGTACATCTATCTTGCACCCGCTATTTTTCAACATAAGCTGAAGCCAAACATAAACAACATATAATATTACCAAGTCAAGCCAATCTATGATATACTCGGCTTATATCATAGATTGGACTTGACTTGGTAATATTATATGTTGTTCATGTTCGGCTTGAGCTTGTGCCTTGTTTAAAATTTTAAATACTTAAACTTGATTTACACTTAATTTATTTATGTCAAGTGAATAAGTATTTAAACAAGTAAATAAACAAAAACTAAAATTTCAAACATGTGTTTTAGTTTTTATATAAAATTTTTAAAAATTGATTTTGTAAATCTAAATTAACAAAGCAATTGAGTAAATTATGAATTAGAATCTCTTTATTTATACAAATTAAATAAGAAAATATATTTGTTTAAGTAATTTTTTTTATATCATAAATAAGAATTAGTGTTTGTACTGCATAAGTTTCAGACACGAGATAACAGATGATTGGGGCTGAACGGGAGGGAAGAAGTGACAGTTGCAAGCAATAGGGATTACGATTTAATATATTTTTTCTATTGATTTTAATTAATTTCAGTAATAAATAATCAAAATTTAATAAACATTTAATAAGCCAATTTTAATATACCAATTTTTGTGTAATTATTTTATAATTAATGAATATGAATATAAATGTGTGTGCGTGTTTGTTGTAAAGATAACTAAAAATGATAATGAATTAGGTTAATTTTTTTAAAATTGGGTTAATTAATAAATATATATTAATAAAATAAATATATAAGTAATAATTAATCATAAAATATTATTGATATAATATGATTACTATTAAATAAGATTAAGATAACATAAATTTAGTTGATCAAATTTTATGTAAATAATTTATCATATATGATATGAACTATCGTTAAATTTAATATCGAGTATTTAATAAGTTTTTTTAACAACTAACACGCTTGTTCATGAAGATATAAAAATAAGTTAATAACATATTCATATTTAGTTCATTTAACCTTTGAAATTATAAAATTTGGTGGCGTTTGAAAGTAAAAAAAAAAAACAAACCTTCAAGCATGTTGAAGTGTTCAAATTTGTTTATTTATAAATTTAAACAAACATGATCGTGTTTTAATCAAACCGACTTCGAGTTGTTCATCGAGTACATTGGTTCATTAACAGCTCTCATGGCTTTTTAAAACTATTTTGTGAATGGGCTATAACACATGATTCTTATTTACTTACATATATCCACAACTTTAAATTTCATATTTGCGTAACACTCAAATCTTTACCATCACATCAAAAAAGGTGTTTGCTCGTAAAGGCGGTGGAGTGATACATTAGCATCTTAGTGTTGTACGAAAAATCAGTGCACATATGGATGAAAAAATTGACAGAAATGACAACATGAGTTCTTACTTGGAAAACCCAAAGGGGAATAAACCATAAGGACTAACACGGTTAAAATTGTTCCACTATGTTGGTATTAATTACAAAATTTTACCAACCCTTGAATAGCCAGAAACAACATTTGGCGAGCGGATTGTGACTTTCAATGGGAAAGTGGCGGTGACCTAGTTACAATGAAGAAAAGCCTGCAGCAGAGGTCGAGTGCCAGAAATTTTGATGTCAGCATTAATAGTAGCGTGACGACGGTGATGGTCGGGCAACAGAGGTCTGGTGGTGGGGATGCTTTGTCAGGTGGTGATGGTAGTGGTCCAGCATCGGCAATGGTGGAGGTCGGGCAATGACAGTCCAGTGGTTGTGTCGATCAAATTGTGGTGGTCGGTGGTAGCAATAATGATCTAGCAGTGGCGGTGATCGGATGGCGGCGGCCGAGCAATGATGGCTGGGCGGTAGCTGCTTTCATATGGATTTGGTCGGGCAATGGTGGTCAGGCGATGTCTACGACTTGACGGCGGGGGCAGCTGCCTGATGGTTGTAGTTGGGTAATGGTAGTCCGACAGTGGCAGCGGTTCTACAGTCGTGGTTTGGCAATGGCTCGACCGCAATGGCCACATAACGGTGGTTTAATGATGGTGTTGAATCGATGGTTATGGCTTGGCAGCGACGACGATGACGACAGCTAGTTGGTGGCGGTCCGATGGTGGTCGGAATTTTCAAGAGCTTGGGTCTCTTTAGCTTTCTTTTTGCCCCAAGTCTCCTTTCATGAAGGGAAAGAATGTCTATTTATAAATTTTGTGACATTCCCTATAAAAATCTGATGAATCTGATCACTCCATCGTAAGGCCCAGAACGATCTCGTTGACCAGCTAGTGTTATATGAACATTTCAGTACCAAAATGATGTTAGAATAGAGTGATCCTGGACAAGACACTCAATTTGACTATAAATTTATCTAATTTGCAATCTATTTGGTCATTCAATTGCCATCCCAAGCCTCCAATTGCACTTAAACACTTTTATATGAGCTTTCGATCAGATCGAATCAAACCAATTTTGATTTCATTGAACTCATCTTATCGAGACTATCACTTTGACTACAAGCTTACTAAAATCAGGGCGATAAATAATCTTGAATTTGAATTTAGAACGATTATTGTTATAAATGTTCGAAGATTCATGCATCATTAAAATATTTTGACACATCAAAATCATCATTTTTAAATCTTTTTAATAAAAAAATATACATTCTCATGCTTAAGTTGACACTAAAGTGTCATAAATATAGATGCCCAACAGTAGATTTTAGAAATGTTAATCAATCAAAAGTAATTGTGCCGTTATGCATGTAAAATTTCCTTTGAGAATTTGAATGCCAAACATGAAGAACAGATTATTTTTATCTGGAAATCTAAAAATGATAATACCATTTGCTATAGTAATCAAGTCAAACATCCCAAGCACTTAGATTCAAAACTGGCAGCATGCACGTACAAATTAAAATTAAAAAAAATAATAATAGTTTATTTCCATATAATTTCATCTCAGTTCAATACAGTAGCTATCCAGAAAGAAACTTCTGGTATTTAGCGTCCAAAAAAACAAAATAATAGCAATAAACAAAAGAAAATATCATAGCTTATGGAAATATTCTAAAATTGTATGATTTATGTACATCAATTATGAAGAATAATAATATAAACTAACATCCATCCTATTCTAAATTTGTATAAATCAAAAAAATAACTGCTTTTCTTCGCCGAACGGGAAGACGAATCGATTAGTAAGCAAATCCTCCCATCTCTTCTAATTATTTCCAATGTCATCTAAAATTCATATGCTGATCTGATGAACAAAATTTCAGAGGACAGTTATGGATCAAACGCAGAGATTTTAAGGGTTCTGTAGCTCTGTCTCAGTAAGCATGGACTGCTCATTGTTAGCAGTAGTTGCTTTGGTATCTTTAGTCATGTGGAGAAGTAAAGTTCCTGAAAGAATTGTGAAAAATCCACAGATTTCTGAAATTATTTGGGTTGCATCTTGAGAGTCCCAATCCTGTATAACAAGACAATTATCATTTTTTTTTTCTTTTTATCCATGAAAAATGAAATTGAGCATCTAAAAGGTACATAATAATAATAAATTGAAAATTTAGAAAAAGGAAGAAAGATTTCCATGCATACCAATCAATTCCTATGTATTTCCAAATCTGACACCTAAACTTTAGTTTTTTACAGACCGGTGGATGCATGAAAAAGTATGTTTTTAATTTTTAACAGTTAAAATGGTGGTATTTTTTATGTTATTTTTTATGTGATTTTATGTGATACGAAAGATTTGAGTAAGTTTTATCTTAGATGAGTTTTTGTTATTACATTCCATTTTCAATATATAGGACTAGTACAATTTTAAATCAAGAACATTAACTAAGAAATTACAGAAAACTTATAAGGAAGAGGAAGCATCAGATGAGCACTTTATTAAGTACTTATTGAGCCATGAGGTAAGAACAAACATGCGCATGAACTTAAGAAATAAGCAGCACAATGTTCAAGCATGTTCCCAGTACAAAATTTTTAACCTTGTTCTATTTACATATGGACCATTTGAGATCACTTTAATTTATTTTTTTTTAATTTAATTTTTTACATTAAATATAGCATGCTTAGTTTATTAGTATCTTTAGTTACTTTATATGTTCCGAGTATTTTTAAAAATAAGTTAATTTAATTTTGAAAATAAAAAATAATAAAATACAAAAAAATACACTAAACAAGTAAGTTTTTCAAAAAAAAAGCAAAAAAAAAGACAAAAGTAATCCCAAACAAGCGGTTAGTTGCCATAAAATTAAAGTTTCTTTGTAGCGCCTATGCAAATTAAAATGAATTAAATGATTTGCATCTCCTTGGCATAAGAGGGGAGGAACCGAATAGAAGTGGCAGGAATTAAACTTCCATACTATAGAATTACAACGCTAGAAATTCTAGAAATGATAAAAGTAAATATTACCAGATATGCATTAACAATAATTACCTTAAACATAATCATACTAGCTAAGATTGTGAACAAAGTGAACATCACGTAGTAGACAGGTGATACTACAGCAGTGTTGAAGATATCCAGCGCCTACACAGATGAAACAATTATGTTAAATAACTGAGAAGTAAAAGCATCATGAACTCTTAAAAACAGAGAGTAAACATCTAATTTTAGGGTTCATTTAATTCGAAGATAAAGATCTCCCAACAATATGGTGAAATCTTTCATGTGAAGATGCGTCGCACCCAGCAACTTCAAATTTTACAAAACTACATAAAGTTGTCATTCAAAAAGATTACATTTTCTTTGTCACAAAAGCACACTCGGTACTAATTCATTTACAGGAAATTATCAAATAAAAGAGAGACTAATTTGGTATATTTTTCGGGGGACTATGACTTTGATATATGATTAAAGCCAACCATTATCTCAAGCATTAAAAGAGCAATGGGAAAAGGGCCAACACAATCCACATTATATAATTTTGTATCATATTAGCAAAATTTGTAGAGAATAGCAGTCTGGATCGTGGTAAAAGTTTCATGGTATTTTTCTTGTGGAAGCTTATAAATTTAATAATTTTAAACAAGACATTGTGGGATTCTATTGAATTCTGATGATTTGCTCAGTGTAAAAGCAAGAATAATGCCATGTGTTATCTGTTCCATTTCCCATACAATCCATTTCATTTTCATTCGCAATTTACACTAATATAATAGTGGATAAGCAATAAATGGTCGATCCCCAGCTGGTTTTATGCTGTCGATCAAAATAAAATCCCTTCGGCTTATTTTTGGAGGCCATAAGCGTGTTATGTAAAGTGGGAGAAAGGCCTTGTTTAGATGTAATATAATGTTCACACTTATCAATATGTTGTTATGTGGACGCTAAATAATTTTAGCGGAAGTGTCATAGGATCAAAAATAATGTGCATAAATCAACACAACAAAGAAAGACAATATGATACTAAAAATATGAAAATGTACGTGATTTGGCACAAACTTAAGCTAACATCCATGGAGAGAAGGTGATTTGGTCAACATTATCAAAGAAACCACAAGTAATGCTCACAATGAAAGAGCACCCACCACCTTTCTCAAATCAACCCTCTTGGAAATAAGCTTTAAAAGTAATCCATTAAATCTCACAAATCAAATTACCATTATTAAATCATATTTTAAAAGTAAGCTTTCTTTTAGATAAAAAAGTGGGCTTGTTTAGCGCTTTTTCATGAAGAAAAAGAAGCTGGTGTATATTCTATGTAAAATAGATCCAAAAAAAAAAAAGGGGAGAGAGAAAAGGCACTTCAGAAACTGGAAAGTGCACTTATATTATGATGGATAGGACCCTCATATAAAAGATTAAATAAAAAAGATCCATATAAAAGATTAAATAAAAAAGAGAAAAAGTGCTCTGCAACCTGAAAAATTATATTATATTATCAAAAGAGAAACCTAAAGGGCAAATGCAATGAAAGGAAAAGATGTTTGCAGGCAATGAGTTCGATGTTAAATTCTAATAGAAGCTTCATTTACCCTGTTTAGGTAATTGAGCTGCACGAGACAACAGAGAGCTGCAACAATAGCGAAAAACCAAGTTTGGCCATATTTAAATTGATTCATCCCTGTAAAGGTGAGCTTTATGGCAATTCCTAAAGCCTTGATACTCATTACCTGTTCAAACAATTAAAAAAATAAAATTCTAAATTAATTAAAAGAAATAATAGACCATCTTTTTTTCTAAAATATTACAGTTTTAACTACTGAACATACCGTAAGAGATCCCATAAGCGAGCAAATTCCAAGATATATCAGCATGTTTGTTTGGCCATAAGGTTTCTCAAATTTAATAATAAGGATAATCACCACGAGCATGGCTATACAAGAGTAAACTATAAAACCTGCAGGATAACCAGTACATAATAATGATGATGAAGAAAGCATAAATGTCCATAGTATGAAATAATACTGGCTAGCAGAGTATATTATGATAAAGGTTTGACTGCCACAAAAACAAAGAAGAAAAGAATCAAGGAAATTTTCTTTTACACAATTTGGATCGACAGAAAACTCTCATAATTAGTCACATAAATGTTTTCATTCATCAAATCAATAAACAATCATTGATTTCAAATACAGGTCGAGAATATCTTTTTTATATAAATAATCTTACAAAGATAAGATCAAATAGTTTGAAATAAAATCTAATCCTATGAAAAAATAAATCAAATCCTAAATAATTCAAATTCAAACCCAGGATTATCCAAAAGGATAATTCATCTTAATTTAATTCAAAATAAATTAATAAATTCTTAAATCCTAATTCGGCCACGGCTCTCAAGTCAAGGGGGCATCTTTCATTGGCTTCTACCACCATTAATTTTGTTACAATCTTGAATTATAGTCTTAAATTCTTATAATTTCTTCAAGCCTCCATCTGCTATTTCTTCAAGGTCATCACTATAGTGTTGAACCCCCTATATAATTGTTGCAATTTTGAATGAATTTTTTATCACCTCTTAATTTTTCTTTTGCGGATAAGTTCATTTAATTAGTTGAGGATGATTCCTACTGTTTAAGTACCAGGAGGACTAAAACTTCCAATTTTTTAACTGAATGGAGGTTTATGAGATTTTTTTTTTAATTTTATTATCTTTTGTGGCTATAAATGGAATCTATTAGGCTTAATAAATATTAATAAAATTCCAACTTTTCATAATTTCTGTGTATATGTTAGATATGTGTTCATCAATCACATTACAGATGTTGAAGACTACATCCGGATACTAGTTTTCTTGTACTGGCATGAGGCTTAATTTTTCTTTTTAGGTGTTTTCAAGCTTTGTTCTTACTTATAACTTGTTTAGCAGCTAATTTATATGTTTGATTGAAGCTTTGTCAAGTTTAATACAAATTAAATTTATTTTATTAGAACAAAACTAAATTATTGCTGAAATTTTATATCCCTTCTCTTTCTTGTGTGCAAAATTTTAGATTTGGCTACTAATAAATTATTATTTGGGATGAACTTACCATGCCTTCTATTTTTAATAACCTACATATTTGGGCTTTGAATACTTTCATTGTGCATAGTATCCCGAGTAGTATTAAAGAACCCTACAGCTTTAACCATCTTACATCAAAGAGATATTAAAGCAAAGTTGCATCTTGTCAACAAAAGTAAAATATAAAACTCAATCAAAAATTAATAAAAGATGCACCATATATAATATTGGATAACTTATAGTTCAAAACAAATACAAACTAATGATCATAAGGAAAAAAGAAAAATAATGATCATAAGGATCTAAATTGTATTCCTACATTTGATGAGAGACATATGATTAAGAAATATTAAGGATGGATTAATAGTTTAAAATAATTTTTTGAATATTACCAATAATTTAATTTTGAAAAATTGATAGAGCTAAATCAAAATTAGCGGGGATGTGCTCAATATTTTTTTGTCAAGTATTGCAATTGACACTAAATTTATATGTGCTCATGTTGTTGGGGTAAAATTTTGAAGTTCTTATGATATAGGATGGTAAAAATTCAGACAATACATGGTGTTGGAGAGCATTCTGAATGGTTATCGAAAGATACCTGGTTCAAATGCCAGGTGCCAAACTTGTTTTACTGATTCAATCTCCCGTTCTTTTGGTGCGTGCAAAACAATAATTGTAGAACCCATCACACAAAGAATGCAACCAAGAACACCGAGCACGTTCAATTTTTCATTCAAAATAAAATGAGCTAGTACTGCACTGCATGAAAGAATTATTTCACACAACAGATAAAAAGTACTTGAAAGCTGTCTAGGAAACGAGCACCAGGCAATATCTTACCTCACAATAATACTAAGAGCACCCAAAGGAGTCACAAGTATTGCTGGAGCAAATGCATAAGCAGCAAAATTTGCTGCCTCACCAACAATCACTGCAGAACAAGAGTTCCAAATTATAAACTTTAATAGAGAGTAAATCTATGTAGATATTATTCATAAAAAAAAAAAAACAGTATTATGAAGTGCACATAAAAAGAATGTGCAAAGCATTTTATTTTTTTGACTAGTGAAATGGAAATATATAGGATATTAATTAACATATTGAATGCAGAAGAACTGAAAATCTAAAGGAACAAGTAAAGTTCTGCACAAATGATGGAGTAATACTAAGATCAAACCTTGAGATAATAAGCGACCAAATGAGCAGTAATCAACCAAAGGACTCGGCCAAAATGCAAAGTCAAAAGTTATCCTATTTTAAATTGTAGTTGCATGGACCTAGGCATTGCTTATGTAGCGTGAGTTGTAAGTTGATGTATGTCAAATTCAAAAAGGGACGAATGAGAAGTCACGTAATCAATTGTGTAACTTAAAAGACAATAATCACTTAGTAAAATTTAGAAAAATGATATGAAATTGTACGTCTATAATAATATTGACTGAAAGAGAACAAGGAAAAAAAAAGAAGTACCACTACATACAACTATACCTTAACTGGCATTGTAGTAAGTCAAGTGCCATAACTTTAGATGATAATCGCACTATGAACATAAGAGGAGAAATATATAACAATTACTGAGGTTAACAAAATGATGAACTAGCTTCAAATTATTACAGAGACGCTAAGAGAAAACAGGGTGTCGTACTCTTTTGAGATAATCAAAACATAAATTCAATAAAAATATTTTACACTTTAGGACAAAGCTCGTACAATTAAAGTGACGTTTATTTCATAAACTAAAAAAAGAAGATTTTTTGCAGTTAACAAAATCAAAGGGATATAGAGCACTAATTGTTCCAAGTGGGAGATTGCAAAAATTATGAAGCGAATTTTTTTCCTGAGCTAGCTTCCCTGTAAATATGTGAGATCTCATATTTATTTCAAAATGTTAAATATGATTGATTTGGTTTACTTTTGGTCTGTGAGACAGTTATTTAATTTGAGAGATCTTATAATTTATTATGAGTTTTCAAATTTATATTGTGTTATTATTATGAATAAAAGGGGAATATGCTTGGAATATAACTGTAAACGATAACCCGAGAGATGATGAGAAAGAGAAGGGTTTAGACCCTCAAGAGTACGAAAGATCGTAGGAAGCTCAGGTGATTCTTTGCAACAAAAATTAAACGAGAAGGGGTCAAGTGACTAGTTTTAACTAGGGTAAAAGAGATGATCAACTACAATCCTCCAAAAAGAGAGTATGAAGTAGGCTTATGCAAATCATTTAGACTTCAGTTAGAAAACCTATGGAAACAATGATGCATTCTTTTACACATCTCATTCTAGTAGATAATGACTACACTAATATTAAATTCCCGCTTATGCATATTTTAATATAAAAAAAAACGTATAAAAGTTTTTTTTTTATACGTTTTTTTTTTATTTATGCATTAATTTTATTTTCATATAAATCAAGTGCTTGTGTAATTATTTTTCAATGCAAAACTATTTTATTAAAGAGAAAAATAACAACAAACATGATAGCAATAGTATAAATTATGGAGTTAAAATTCATAAATATTCACATAGTGTTTTCAAATTATTAATGTTGAGTAATTAACTTCTTTGATTGCTATTTAAAGATTTTAATCTAGTAGTAGTTTATAGATTTTCAATGTCTACTATAATTTCTTGGTAAATTTTATTTATTTTATCTGAATTTTAACCAAGGAGAGATTTTTTAAAATAATATTAAAAGAAAGATATCAGTAAGTATAGATGCGACAAATGAGAAAAATTAAGAATGAAGTTCAAAAGAACATCACTTGGGAAATACATCATTGGAAAATAAATAAATAGAATTATATTTAGAAATATTGAATGACATCAATAATGATATAATTATTCAATACTTTAAAAATATGAAGACAGGATGTTATAAGTTATATTTTTTAATCATTATATATTAATAGGTTCAAAAGAAAAATTAAATTGTCAATGCAAATCCTGAGCTCAGACAAAAAAGATTGAGAATTTTTTAAAAAGCTATTTTCTGTCTCCACTTTAAAAATTTTAAGGCTTTGTCACTGTCAATACATGGATACTTATGTATCAGTACATTTTATTAAGATACAAACCTAAGCATTCATGTAAAGGTAATCAAAATACAATTGTGAATGCATATTTTAATTGACCAATAGAGATAATATATACTAAATATTCAATGAAAGATACATCATATGGTCCTCAATTGTCAAACTACAAAATCTATGCATATTCCTTTAATTTTTATTCGATATGGTATCCAAATTTTTTTAAGATTTCAATAAGACGCAATAAATAGCATATCCATAAACTATATGAGTATATGTGTATATAACAATTGTGGCACTCCAATTGATATATTTTCATTCTTACTAGTCATTTACTCTATCATATCCTTCAGCAGTGCTAGATCAATACAAAAATCTACTATTTATAGGCCTCAACATGTTCCTTGTGACTTGATGGCTCGACTAAATGGTTATGTGATTATATGATTTAGCTTTGAAATAATCTTGCATCTAATGGGTAAAGGACATGTTTTACCACAACAACCTTACCGCCCCAACCCCCTCACATCTCAACACAGCACACATTTTTTTCTTTCTGCATTTTTGAAGAAGACATGAAACTTGTGGGGAAAAGAATGCAGTCAAAAAATATTTTCAGATATAAGTTTCATCAAATTGATGCATACTTCAAAATGTTTACAAAACTACAGCAATACAAAAGCTTTGCTCATGAAATAATTTGGCATGATGCATACGCATGTACATACATGATAGATCAAGGAGCATTATGTGGTAAGGTTGAATTTTACAACAACAACAACAACAACAAAGCCTTAATCCCACTACGTGGGGTCGGCTACATGAATCCTTTTTCTCCATTGCGTCCTATTTAGTGTCATATTTTCATTTAGTTCTAGTAAATTAAGATCATTTTTAATACAATAAGCCCAAGTCTTCCTAGGTCTACCTCTGCCTTTCTTAACACAAGTCAAATCTAAAACATCTACTCTCCTAATCGGATCATCTAATGGTCGACGTTTAATATGACCAAACCATCTAAGACGACTTTCTCTAATTTTGTCTGTCACAGGAGCTACACCAACCCTATCACGAATATATTCATTCCGCATTTTGTCTCTAAGTGTAAAGCCACTCATCCACCTAATCATTCTCATCTCAGCAACACTTAACTTATTATTATGCTTCTCTTTTAAAGGCCAACATTCAACGCCATAGAGCATTGCAGGTCTCACCACCATCTTATAAAATTTTCCTTTCAGTCTAAGC